CCTGGCCTTTGTTTGCATTAGCATGCAGATGTTTGGAAGTTTGACTGGCCAGTTGGGATGAGTCACGGCAGACCAGGCGCGATTGATGATTTGCATGGGTGAACAGAGCTCTATTGTCATCCCCGCACCGCAGCTTCCGTTGGGGCCTTCTGCTTGCCCTGCAGCCCTCTGGAACAAAGGCAGCCATGTTTGTACTGATCAGTTGTTCAGGCATTGTTTCCCTGACCTCTGATTCTCCAGAGCTGACCCAAACCTACTGGTTACGTTTGCTGCAGGGAAAATAATCAATGGCTCTGACTGCATTTTGATGGGTTGAGGTAAAGGAGTGCTGATAAGGTGTTTTTGGTAGAACAAATGAAGAAGGTTGAGGAGGACTTTCCCCTTAGTGTTACGCAATATGTACCTTCTTATTGTTTGCATTTCCTCACACTTCATGAACAAAGGTCGGCATATTTACAACAGTTGTAATTTTTACAATGTCTTAAGAAATAAATAACAGTCTTTAGACAAACTAATATAACCCTCTAGAGCTCTGCACGTATCTCTGTCCGGCAGGCTTTGTAGAAGATTCTTGGAGCAACTTCTAAATGTCATTAAAATGACTTATTTTACCCAGTGTCTTCTCGCATATATTGACACAATTTTAGGGCTTTACGCTTACAAAGTAGTTTGTTTCTCTCCAACCTGGTTGGTCTTGTAATGGAGAATGAATGATCAATTCATTCTCCATTGTTTGCTTTGGCAGATTTAAAAAGGATTACTAGAAAAGATGCAACTAGAAATGACTAATGAGTGGTTTATAGCTAAAAGTAGTGACCAGGCAATCAAAAACTAAAAAAATCGGAACTTTTTCAAATTAGTAAATTAATCTTGTACCAGCCTTCAGTTCTGCATTCTTCTCAAAAATGAATCGAATCCCTCCAATTGTTCTGGCTTTCTCCTGCAAGTTATCTTCATCTGATACTCTAAACTGCTTTTATGATTGCATGTGTCTGTGGTTGACCGGTCATTGTCCATTTCTATACTGAAGTTTTGAGAACTGCTCCTCAAGTCGTTTTAGCTGCGGCTGTTTCGGAAGCAACACATAGTCATAAGTAGGATAAACAGATAAATGCAGCAAAAAACTTAAATGTAACATTTATTACTGTCACAGAAGGATGTCGGAGGTGTGTACCATTTTTGTTAGTGTTTAAAGACGGTTTGATTTTATCATCGACAAAAATGCATAGTCATGCAGCACTTCTTGTATTTATCATCACTGCACTTGATAAGTTTAAAATTTTCAATCATCATTGTAGTGATGATTGAAAACTTTTCCATCAATGCTTACAATAAAACATATTGGAATGGAATAATGTATGGGACTGTATTACAGATTATATATGTTCCTGCAATACAGCAAGAACATATCTCCGATTTACCATTCGATGTGTTCAGTTATAAAATCATTAATTTATTTTGCTGTAACACTGCAGTTAAAAGAGCTTTTCTACTGTGAAAACATCGCCAGGGATAATTCAGCCCTATAGATAAATGGATACATAGATCATTCTTTTAAAACAAATATTGGATTATAGACCTCTTACTTCCAGTTTTTTGGATGTGAAATTACAACTTTTGTCGTTCGTCAGATTCCCTTTAAACTTTTATTTGATCACTTAATTCTGCTTGGAGTCACAGGCAGCAGGATACATTTCAACCAAGGCCTGTAGGCGATAAGTGGGCCACAAGACGGGTACCCGGCCCCATCACAGAACCAGCATAGGAACAACTGTTAACGCCTACATTCACACCTAACCGTGATTTACAAGGCATGTTTGCGTTCTGAGGGAGGAAACCAGGACACTCAGAAAAAAACCCAGGCAATCTAATCCGATCTCCAACCTGTGCTCTGCCATCGCAACCTTTTGAACACTAGAGTAACTGAGTCGTATTCTCTAAAGAAAGTTTACTGGGTTTTTGAATTTTTAAGGAGGACTGGTTAAGTTGGATAAGTTGGAAAACTGTCCTGATCACCAGCTGGTTGGTGAAAAAAGTATACAAACAGAAATATGGGCTCACCATCTGGCAAGTATTATTACCATACAAAAGACAGAAATAGAGTTAATTAGAATGATGGTTCTGTGCTCTAAAACTGCAGAACTTTGACATGCATTATCCTCACAAATGTACATTTTTACATTCTGCTGTTGGCAAGTCAACATTTTGTTCGTCATCGATGGACTATTCCCCCGAGTCGTTTTCCAAAGTGTGCTCTTTTGTTTATTGGCTTGCTGTTGAAAAGGAGCGGTCATTGAAAGTTGCTCCTTTCTGCAATAAGGCAGACTTCTCCGGTTCCTTCATGTGACTGGAAAGACGGTGACCGAGTGGAAAAGGTTGCTTGTGGTTTCACCGTTCTCACTGCTCCCCACCCACCATGCTGCAGCCTTCACCGCATCATCATCATCATCATCATCTGCTCTCTCTGCAAGCAGCTTGTGGCCACTATCTCCTTCAGAGATAGAGAGGCTCTCAGAAACAAAGCAGGTTTTTGCAGTTACCATGGAAACTAGATTGCATCACAGCTTGCTCTTTGCTGCCCCACCTCACTCCCTTCCTCCCTCCTACAATTTAAGCACAACTCAGACCGACAGCTTCTTTATGCATCAAAAAGTTGACAGAAAAGCAGAGGTTGATGAAGGTAAAAGCTTTTTGTTCAGCAGATGAGGACATGATTAGTCACATCCGTTTGTATCAACAGTGACTGTTGTAGCTGATAGGGATTAACAGATGCTGCGAGTCTTTCACAGCTCCTGCTTCCTGAGAGACTCGTGCCCATAAAGTGTCATCGCTGATTCCAGTTGTTCACATCTTCTGTCAAACTCGAGGGCCGCTGTCCTGCAGTTCTTAGATGCGCCACAGGTACAAAACGCTGGAATGAAATGGCTTAATTACCTCCTCCTTGTGTAGTTAAAGTCTCCAGAGCCTTGCTAATGACCTAATTATTCTATTCGGGTGTGGCGCAGCAGAGGCACATCTAAAAGTTGCAGGACAGCGCTCCCGGAGGACTGGAGTTTGAGACCCCTGCTCTAGACAGACGCCACAGCTCCACCATGTGTTCTGCATGAGGATTTCTAAACCCCAAAACAAACAACGTGTGCGGGTTACTCCTCCTTTTTTTGTTGGTGAAATAGTAATAGTAATATAAAGCTTCTAATTTTCTAAGTTGGTCGATGTTGCACCACTCATGGAGACGTCACTTTGGAGTAGCTCTGATTCGTTAGTTCTGATTGGTTCATAGCCGTTATGATTGAGACACTGGATCATTTGCAAGGATTTTTGTTCTTAGTTTTTTTACTTTCAGAGCGTTGTGCAACTGTGGTAATAAGGTGTTGTTTTCACAACTGGGAGCAGCTGATTAGAATCTCAGAAGCTTAGATAACACCTGAACTATGACCCCGTATCCCATAGAAGTTGAAGAGGAGGGTCCACGGATGCAGAGCAAGACCAAAAAGTAGAGAGAAGCACCAAGCTTACGCCACCTCATCTATCAGCCAACTTTTTACAAGATTATAGATTTTTTTCACCTCTGCTTGTAATAAATCTGAGCTCTTTTACTTTTTAAAAATACATAACCACTTCCGATTCTTTAAACTTTTATTGTGAACAGTGAATGTTCTAGTTAAAGCAATGTGAGGACAAGTTTCATATGACTAAAATGGGAAGAAAAACACACTTTATGCTCAGAAAGGGTCTAGAATGATGCCTCTTCTGTTCATCCTCAAGGGGGTAAAAAGGCCGACCAGCAGCAAATAGCCAATCAGGTATTTCCATAAAGGATGATGTCAGATGCAGAGATTGATATCATGAGAATGATTTGGTCAAAACAATGTAGTTCATAATTGTGATGTGGAAGGGCAAAATATTTTTTTTTTCTTACAAATGAAAACCACACATACAAACATTCGCCCTAAAACAATATCTCAAACTTGAAAACAAACAAGGTGCCGTTCAACCCATTAATAGAGTCAAACACTTAAAAAGTTGGCCAATAAAAGCAATATTCAGAAAAGCATCCCAGAGGGCCGTGGTAGCTTTGGAGGAGCTGCAGAGAGTCTCACACTATTGTTAAAACAAAGTCCCATTTGTAGTTTGCCATTGAAACAATGCAAGGGGACTCAGCAAGCGTCTGGAAAGATGAGACCCATGTATCTTCTCATCCATCTGAGTCATGTCTCCTGCAACAAGCTCAAATCAAAGGCGACTGGACTTTCACTCACCTCTAGGTGTCAAAACATCTTCAGGAAAACTGAGAAAAAAATCTGGTTCCCTTTGATTTAAACCTGTAGAATGATGTGTGAGGAAGAGCTCAGTCTTTTTTAACTGGCATACAAAATATTGTTTTGTAGATTTAACAACCCAACATCACCCTGAACACACCATCCCTACAATTAAAGATGGTGGTCGCAACATGTGGATACGCTTCTTTGAAATAGACAGCAATTGGTTTAAATCCAAGCACATAATGTGAGAATAAGTAAAATACAGCAATTTGAATCACTGTTGGCTGAAGGACTAACTTTTTGTGTACAGATGACAACAGATTGGTTTAGTAATCACTCTAAAAAAAAATTCAGCACATGCTACAGATTTTTCACATAAAATATCCACTAAATTCCTTATTTTCATGCATGTTTTAATCGGTTTCCAATATTGTATAAAAAGCCTTTATACTTTTTTTTTGCCTAAAATGCAACATAGAAGTTATTTAGTGAATTGGGTAAAACCTTATCAAACAAAGGTGTAAAATGTATATTTTGTATAGTTTTGGCTTAATTACGGCTCTGAATATTTTTTGTTAGCAAATGCTTTTTTTTTTATTTGTACACTGCAATTAAAAATTGATCGATTGCTTCAATAATTGATTCATCACAATTATTTCAGCTCTGTTACAGATATGTTTTTGTCACGTTACTCAACAAAGGTTAACGTCTACATGTTTGTCGCGCTTTCCCTTTCAGGTCACAGAGCTGAACGAACCGCTCTCCAACGAGGAGAGGAACCTCCTGTCCGTGGCCTACAAGAACGTGGTCGGGGCAAGACGCTCGTCCTGGCGCGTCATCTCCAGCATCGAGCAGAAGACGTCGGCCGACGGCAACGAGAAGAAGATCGAGATGGTGCGGGCATACCGGGAAAAGATCGAGAAGGAGCTGGAGACGGTCTGCCAGGACGTGCTCAACCTCCTCGACAACTTCCTGATCAAGAACTGCAACGAGACGCAGCACGAGAGCAAAGTCTTCTACCTGAAGATGAAGGGCGACTACTACCGCTACCTGGCCGAGGTCGCCACGGGCGAGAAGAGGGCCGCGGTGGTGGAGTCCTCCGAGAAGTCCTACAGCGAGGCCCACGAGATCAGCAAGGAGCACATGCAGCCCACCCACCCCATCCGCCTGGGCCTGGCCCTCAACTACTCCGTCTTCTACTACGAGATCCAGAACGCCCCGGAGCAGGCGTGCCACCTGGCCAAGACCGCCTTCGACGACGCCATCGCCGAGCTGGACACCCTCAACGAGGACTCCTACAAAGACTCCACTCTCATCATGCAGCTGCTTCGAGACAACTTGACGCTGTGGACGAGCGACCAGCAGGACGATGAGGGAGGCGAGGGCAACAACTAAAGAGTCCAAAACCTCATTCTGCCAAATCAACACAAGACGCGCGCTCACAAATGACGACAAAAATAGTAATTGTTAAAAAGTTCTTAATTTAAACAAAAAACAACAAAAAACAAAACAAAAAAAGACGGGAGGGCGGGGGAACGTCGGCTACCATTTTAGCCGATGGTACCGACGTGGTTGCTGTTCTTTATTTTTCCACAATTAAAAGCGAAAAGATCGTAGGAGGGAAGACGTGTTTAGTTTGAGAAATACGCTATGATTAGTTAAAAATAAAAAAGAGAGAGAGAGAAACACCCAAGAATGAAACTCCCTTCACCACAGCCTCTGCAGCATTTGCTAGAGTACCGACTTGGGTCACAAAGAGGTTCGTCGTCCATCGAGGTGTGAATAACCGTCATACTCACAACCGCCAGAGACTGACTTATCATGCAAATGAAGCGGAGCTGTTTTAATGTATTCGAGCGAGAGGGAGGAGCATTCAGAAATTCACTCCTCGATGCTTGGGCAGCAAGAAAAATAAATAAATCGCGCAAACCTTGAATGTCATGGCCTTGCTTAGTGAGAGAGAGATGGCGAGTGATAGTGAGTGAGAGAGTCGACGGGTTCTGGGGAGGAACGCGGCCTCGTTAGGGATGTTGGAGTTCGTGGTGTAACGTCAAAGAAAACATCTTTAGTTGCACCGCGTCCACGGTGGTTGAGTGAAAAGCAGGTTATTTCTGCGGTTGAAGACGTAGAAAAAAAAAAGGGTTTTTTGTTTGTTTGCTTTGTGTCAGGTATGTGTCCAGCTCAGTCACATGGTCAGTCATACTGTAACTAAAACTGCAAACTTATACAGTAAAAAAAAAAAAAAAAAAAAAACATAGTGCAGCTTGTCCCTCTCATGTGCTGATGTGCTTTCTTAAATAAACGACCCGTTTTTGGACACCTAACTCTTATTGTCAGTATTGTCATTACTGTAACATCTTCGATTGGCTCCTTGTGTTTGTGGGGAAGCAATTTGATCCAGATGAGCAAATCGAGAGAACACTGACTGAAATGTCCGTCTGCAGGTAACGCTGTCTTTTCCACGAATCGACAGGATCTCTGAACCACAGACCTAAATAACGAACTAATTTGTGAGCAGAGCACACGCATTGTTAAAGCGGAAGCTGTACGAGCAGATTTGAGGTTTGTGGATTAACTTTGTTTTCCGTTTCTTCTTGGTCAAGAAAATGCACTTGCCTACTATACTGTCTCTTCAGTGTGAGATGATAACCGCTCCAATATTCTCCATAAGAAACAATATTGTGCATGCTGGTGATGTATTTATACAGTAGCTTCGATTTATTAACTTATACTGTAGATGTTATGTATTCATATGAACATGGAATTATTAGACATTAATCAGATTCTTTTCTATTTATTTCTTTTTGTTGCTATTGTTAGCTACACCTTCTTTTAATCTGTGTTTTCTTTACTCCATTCGCTGAAGTGCGCTATACCAAAACAGTGATTGTTAACAATAAATTGATCTGTTATGGACATCGCTATGGTGACATGCATTTCTTGGTAAAAAGGGGGAATAATAGTTATTACTTAGATTCCTTTCAGAGTATATTTTCAGCTATTAATGTGTATTATGGACTGGCAGGTTGTTGTAAATGATGATGGGGCAGATGTTGGTAGCACCCTGCATCCACGATGCATCCAGAAGTATTTGCAGTAGAAATTCAGAAATAATAGTTTTGGTTCATAAATAAAAATATGCTTCAGATTTAATGTGACATACAGAGCAAAACACTAAAGTTGCTTGTAATTTCACTCATAAAAGGAAGAAACTATTTCTTGGAACTCACCCAAAAGTGCAAAACTACGACCGTTTCGATCAGTGACAGCTTTTAAAATGGAGGATATGACTCACCACCCAGAGCTGTATGGGCCAGAGGGGCAGCACAAGTTTAGGCAGTTGCACCCAGAATGAACTTTTGATTGCATATTTGCATTACCAGTCAGTGGAGAGTGGGAGGCTCCCCTGTGTTGTACACACTGAAAGGAAGCATATTTAGCTGTAGCTGCAGATTTGCAGCTTTCTGATCTGCTCTAAACCAAGGAGTTGTTTTCATCTTATTTTACAGTGGAGTCCAAACTGCATCTGGTTTTTGTTCTGAATAAACCCGAGCCAGAAAACCTGTGTCCACCAATGTGTTTCCAGTGTGTATACTGTATTCTACCAGAATATTAGTAGAATATTGGTACATTCTACCAATATTTTATTCAAAAACAGTCAAACTCACCAAACCAGCTTGACTGGTAGTTTTGTATGATTGTTGCACAGCAGATTATAAATCTTCCTTTTATTTACAAAAACTCTTTGCATTACCTTTATTTTCTCCTACAGTTTACTTATAATAAATCTTTTAAAAAACAACAACAACAACCACATACATACTTGCGAGGATTGTAATCAATTCAATAACATAAAATTATTGAACGCAGTCATGTGTTTTGGGGTGACTTTGTCCTTTTACTCAGTCAATTTGGTTTATTCTTCCTGTTCCGAAGTTTTGTCTGATTTTATTGACACCAATTTTGGTCCATAGAAGACAAAAATTCCATTAGAGAATCCACAAAAGTGCACATTTTGTAGTCCTGTCAGGATTCCTTTTAACAGGAAGCATTTTTATTGAACGGTGACATTTTGTGAGCAGTTAAAATCACTGTGGAAGAACAAAAATAAAATGAAAGCCAAACATCTTAACTGACGCCGAAAGGTTTGTTCAGCTACTTCATTTTTCAACTGACAGTGCAGACCATTGATAGATTTTCCCCAAATCTAAACATCGGAGCAGATAATTCAACTTCCTCTAAGGAGAAATAAACATCTTATTAAACCTGGAAGTACTTCCCTGGAATAAACAGAAGACTGTCAGTCAAGAACCGCAATTTGGCACATCAACTTTTCCTCTCAGCAGGGGAGTGGTGATTATTTTAAAGGGCTGGTGGACATTAATTGGTCGCAGGGTGATCAACCCGAGCTGCTGCCCCGGAGAATGAACCAGACACCACCTGCTTTTAATCATTACAACTGCACGGGGTTGCAGATATCACACTTTTAGTTTGGCTATTTGTACAATAAATTTTTTTTTAAATCTAATTTTAAGGTCGTGGCGTGATTTGTCGAGGTTCGGCGTAGTAAATGGTGATATTTGTGAAAAATACGACGATAAAACTATAATCAAATTGTCACAATTTGAACATTCAATCAGCTTGTCTGTATACACCAAGATTACTTTAAGATTACTAAAATTACTACTATAAGAGTGCAATGACAACTTCTCCAGCACAAAAAAATGATAAATAAAATTAAGGTTTTGAAATGGCCTAGTCAAATCCTGGGTTCAAATTATACTGAAATGGTGCCTTGAATTGGCTTTTTCTACATAAAATGGCTGAAATAAATGAATTGTGAAAAGAAGTGTGGCCTGATATTCCTCTACAGATCGATGGCAGACATTTCTGTGACTCGTTCACAGGTGCAGCACAAGAGCCAAAACAGGAGCTATATGAAGGGAGGGTTGTGCTGTTTGTGCTGTTTGCACACTATACTCTGTTGTTACAGAATAACATTTTATGAAAGCACTTCTGGTTCAGCCGAGTGCAGGAAGTTAGGATCTGAGATGAATCCAATTAGCAACCTTGGATCCACCTGCTTTTTTTTTTTTTTTTAATTACACAAAAAAGCCTGGGAGGGTTCTGGATGGATGGGGAACGCCATGAATAATGCAGGCCTCCATTAAGAGCAGGGGGGAAGTTGTGATTCACAGACTAGGAAAGGTTGACATGCAAAGTGGTTTAGAGATGAGTGCTTTGTAGGCCAGAGTCTGTTTGGTATTCATAAACTCAGCATAAATCAGAAGTCATATATAATATGACTCTCCACTGATTGGTTGATATTTCTTACGGCCAATACAGTCGCACGTTGTGAAAACAGCTGGGGTTAGTCTAATCGTAGCAGACCTACTACTCTCTCCAGGTCCAGAGGCATGAGGGAAAAAAAAAACAAACGAGAAAACTGTATTTATTTTTTCCTCTGATCTACTCTTTGTAACCCCTCAACATGCTGGAAGCTCAGTGCATAGCAGGGCGCTCTATTAATAGATACCCCCCTCCAGCTGTGGAGTCAGGAGTCGAGTTAGTGAGTGCATTAGCGAACAGGCATGCAAAGCGAATAACTACAAGCGGAGGAAGAACAAGAAGTGATGGAAACGACCGATCTGGCGATGACATCACAGGCTGCAGGTTTCATTTCACTCAGCGCTGTGAGACGCACGCACACAGAATGACACGCGCAGCTGGCTCCACTCATGCAGCTCCGCCTGCGATTGACTGCGACGCGCAGATCTATGGGATGGTAGCTGGTTCTGTGTCAGTATGTGAGGCCAAAGTGTACCGAGCTTTTTCTCTTATACACACAGAAAGAACTGCTGACCTAAAGTCACCAGATACCACACTGCTCTTCCTGAATCCGAGGTTCGACTATCCGACGGACCCTCCTCTTCAGGACCCCCGAATAGACCTTGTCAGGGAGGCTCAACAGTGTGACCCCTCTATTATTGGAGCACACCCTCGGGTCTCCCTTTTTGAACAAGGGGATCACCACCCCAGTGTCCCAATCCAGGGGAACTGTCCCTGATGTTCATGTGATATTGCAGAGTTGCGTCCGCCAACACAACCCTACAACATCCAGAGCCTTAAGGTACTCCGGCCGAATCTCATCCACCCCTGGGGCCCTGGCACTGAGCTTTTTAATTCCCTCAGCGATCTTGTCCCCAGAGATTGGAGAGCCCAACCCAGAGTCCTCAGGCTCAGCTTCCTCAATGGAAGTTATGTTGGTGGGATTGAGGAGATCAACAAAGTACTCTGCCCACCGGTCCACAACGTCTCGAGTCAAGGTCAGCAGCACACCACCCCCACTGTAAACAGTGTTGGTGTTGCACTTCTTCCCCCTCATGAGATGCTGGATGGTGGACCAGAATCGCCTCGAAGCTGAGCGGAAGTCTTTCTCCATGGCCTCTCTGAACTTCTCCCACGCCCGAGTTTTTGCCTCAGCATCCACCCGAGCCGCATGTCGCTTCACCTGTTGGTACCCATCAGATGCTTCCGGAGTCCCACAGGCCAAAAAGGTCTGATAGGACTCCATCTTCAGCCTGATAGCATCCCTCACCGAAAGTGTCCACCAATGGGTTTGAGGTTTGCCGCCACGACAGGCACCACAGCTTCTTAATGACTTGCCAAAGGTGTCAGACTAAGATAAAGTCTTGTGGAGCATACTATAACATTGGCAGAACTGCAGGAGGCGCTGCTGAGGATGGAAAATAGGGTAGGTTTAGGGTTAGGGTTAAGTTGTCTTATAAATCCTGTTGGCTGTAGATCTGTTGGAAGTACTCAATAACATGGTGGCAAGGGGAATGTTACCCCTTAGCTGTCGTAGAGCTGTGCTCACTCTTACTCCTAACAAGGGTGATCTCTATGAAATAAGTCTTTTGTGTACTGACTGTAAGATCTTCTCAAAGGTTCTGGCATGCAGTTTAAAAAAAAGTTATACATGTTGATCAGTCTTATTGTATCCCTGGCAGATCACTAAGAGATAATATAATATTAACTCGAGATTATTTGGATGTTTCTAATTTACTGGGTTCAAACTTCGGCCTGATTTCTATTGACCAAGAAAAGGGATTTGATCGAGTTAAGTACAGATGTTTATGGATGAGTTTGAAAGCTTTCGGTTTCTCCTCTAGGTTCATTGTCATGAATAAAACTCTCTATTGTGACATTGGTCCTGCTCTTTGGAGGAAGCAGTCTCCCACTGAACCTGCTTTCCTGGATGCTGATGACAGCGTGCAGAGGGTGGCTTGATGTTGCTTGTCCATAAAAGTCCAGAGCTTCTGTAAACTTCTCTTCTCCGCCATTGCTGCCAGAGAGTCCAGGCTCGTACCGACCACTCAGCCCGTCTGATTTGTTTCTCAAGGCTGGAAAGGTCTGACTTAGAGATGCTTCCACCCCAACACACCACAGTGTATAACAAGACGCGAGTGACAACAGACTGGTAAAACAAACCCAGCAGCTTTCCACAAATGTTAAAGGATCTCAGCCTCCTCAGAAAGTACATTCTGGTTTGGGCCAACTGCTTGATGTTGCTTGTTCAGTCCGGCTTGTTGTCCAGCAGCAGGGCAAGATATTTATTGCTCCACATGACCTCCACACTCCTATCAGAACTGGTTGTGGACTGCCTTTGACCCTTCTGAAGTCAATGACCAGTTTCCTTTGCCTTGGATCTGTTTGGCTGCAGGTTGTTTCTATGGCACCAGACAATAAAGTCTCTTGCCAGGCTCCTGTACTCTTCTTCGTTTTCTTTGATACAGCCCATGATGGCAGTGTCATCAACATAATTCTGAATATGGCACAAATATATATATGTATATACATATGTATAAAAAAAAAAAATCCCTTCTCACCCACCGCGGGTGGTTCTTATCCTCTGAGC